ATGAGTGAATGAATTTAAAAGGACATTTTGCTTACTGTAGTCAGCTATTCGCACCAGGACCCACACGTACGCAATGGCACACATTGTATAGCTCGACCAAACGCCCCATTCTTCATTTTCTGGTCTCATTCTCGAACAGCCCCTTTTTAAACAATCTTCTCGAAGACTTTTTCCACTCTAAATTACCGATTTACGCACTTTCTCCGCCTTCATCACACTATTTTCCATTCTTCGACATGATCTGGACTACCCAAATTGAATGCATAGCGCTTGAAACCAACGACTTTTTGCCCTAGCTAGCTTTGAAATGACAAAATGGTTACGTGATCCTCCTTAGAGGAGTTACAGAACAATCTCATTCTCCTATGATCTTACCATGAGTGAGCGTTTGGCGGCGGATTCAACGCTTCTCAGTAGAACTACGGGGGTTTCTAAATCCACTGAAGCAGTGTTTATGAAGGAGATATTAAATCCAATTTCACCTTCACGCTCACTTCGTCTTCATTGCATACTTACGTGAGTATGCATTAGTTCGAACAGAACAAAGGGAATGAAAATCGAGTTTTGAAAAAAAAACCTTCCTTTCTCCTGAAACAGCTCCAGGGTAATGCCGCTGTCTGCTCATGACAACAAGTGTAAATCTTGAGAGGGGACTTGTACACTGGTCCATTATTTACTTCCTTAGACATTGCAGTAGCAATGGCCACAGAACTGTTTGCAGAGGAAGCATAATAGTAGGAGATTAGAGCGTATCGAATTCACCATTACAGTAGTAAGCATAGGTATGGTATGGTGTAAGGTTGGGCTATTAGTAGAGGTGAAAATTTAGGGAGCGGAGGTGGGTGCCGCTCATTTTCAACATTAAGCGCTAAAGCGCTGTGGAGGGAGCAGAGGAGTATTTCTGCGGGCATGAATAACGCTCTGAGCGGGAATAGTATGTCAGCGCGCCGACGCTTGCTGTTCGAAAAGGCATCAGTGGTCTAATGACTGTTCAAATCTTAACCTACCCCAGTACGAATAATGATCTTACTCACCCGGCGCTCCTCTCCTTGTGAGGCTTACTTAGTTGGAAAACTAGATTTCTCTGCTAAAAACTTCCCGCTTCCAGAGCATCGTTAGTATAGACTCGCAGATGCAGCTACCTCTGCTCCTCTGCATTCTGGCGCTCTATGTATTTAAAAGGAGCGCGTGCCCCTACCCCTTCCCCATCCGCATTTTCGCCAGAAAGAGTATCGTTATGGAAGAGCTCAGTACGATGTGCTTGAAAAATAACATGCTCTAACACGATCATCGCCAGCGAAAGTGTAGACGCTGGCGACGCTCAACGCTCAGCGCTGTGCGTTAAACGCGGCTCATTCAAATAATCAAACTCGATAATAATTCAAGTCGCAGAACCTTATAATGTATGAATGACATCCTCGCACTCCCATCGAAATAACCACTGTTGACCAGGAAGCGCTCTGATGGTAAGTACGGACAATGAGCGGACACACCCCCTTATCACGTTAAGACTGCTTTATGATTCTCTAAGTGAGAGAGGCTTCTTTGAAAACTGTAGTGCGCGCATTTATAGTAGATGCGTTTTTGTGGATAGGAGCTTTTCACGCATATATTTGCGCAAAACTACATTCTGCGTAAAAATGCATTTTTGTGTTCGTAGATTTTTCTGTCGAATATATTTTCCACCTGTTTCTGTTGAATGTTTTGTTTTTTTTGGACCCAAGCCTAAAACATCTTACCTTTTGATTTACAGGTATAGACGCTAGCTGAAGCATGGGCTCCATATTTACGTCGACTGCGAAGTTCACAGTGAGTTTACGATTGAGCTACGCTTATGCCCTGCTTGAAGTTCACCTCACCTACATCGTACTAGAATATCCATCTTTCAACGGTTTTGTTAGCTGACATCATCAAGTCAAGTCTAATAGGTTTCATTATTTTGTATGTCGGCTTACATCATGTTGATGTCGAGATCATGAAAAGAATAAATATCAAAGTTGGGGTGGGTTTGAAGTTTTTCATTTGAGGCACCTGTCGCCAATGCTGCTCGTATTCCAATGATCAAATTCATTGGCGCTCGACTGCCCAGACCTGATTTTTCCCGGTGAGGTCGCTCATAACCTAGACAACATCCTTGCATTCTCCTATCAAAGCGGTATTAATCGTTTTGTAGGGTCGCTTCCGGTCCAATTCCCTCGCCACCTATTCCTACCACTGGAGCAGGTTTGTTAAGATATTTTTTTTGATATAATTGTAACCGTTTGAAAAAAAANAAAAAAAACTACGTGGTTCAATATGTTCGAGCTTGTATTTATGATTTTTTAGCGGCGTCCCCATCAGGCGGAGGTGCTGTTGGAAAAACATCTCGCGGACCTGCTATTACCGAGGACGAACTCCCTCTTCATTTCCGCCGTCCTCTCATCGACCAAGAAGAATGTGATGCCATAAACGTTAGGCAATTATTGTTTTACCCTGTTGTTTCTGAATCGATCTTTCCTGTTTGCATTTTGCGTGAGGCCGTTGTCATTGACAACGGTGAGAGCGCGTGGGTAAACGATTGCTTAGGTTGGACGTGTTTGAAAGTTCCCTCTCATTTATTTCCGTTTTTTTGTGCTACTTTGAGTCGTGTATTTGTTTTATATCACCAGTTTCGAAATGCTAGGTCAGTTTAGGCTGGCGGAGCGTACGGGTTGAATTAAGCGCAGAATTGGATGATCACGCCCGATGATGAACACGACCGATGCTGGCTTTATCTTTCGCGTATTTAGTTTATATAGTGTCTAACAAATAGATGTATTATGTAGATTTTCATGGAAGAATAATAAAATTTATGAAATTTAATATCTCGTGGGAATTTCGCACATGTGCAGACGTTCACAATATATTATTGACATCTTACCGGACGTTTCGTACTGTTCATTGTTCATTGAGAGCGGTTTTGTTGATTTAGGGATGAAGTCTACCGCGTTCTCTAACTGAGTTTCATCTTCAATGTCAGACAAAAATGTGCCCCGTAGATCAGGTTCTACAAAAGGAAGGTATTAGTGGGGTTATTGGATTTTGTGTTAGTTCTTATGGTTGGTATCTGCCTAAGATTACCAAATTGTCCTTTTTCGGCAGTAAATTGTCCTTTTTTCGGGGATATTCTGGAATTCTTCATGGATTTACTGTGTAAGGGCGCTACCGACACATAACATTTCTAGCGTGGATATCAAAGAAGGCTCTCCCTTGTTCATTTTGCTCGATAATGGCCGAACCGTTTCCGCACATTCGACTCGTATTTCTTCGCAAGTTTAATCCAACCACCCTGATGTTGCTGTTTTTGGGAACTCGTGTCAGGTTTTTGCCTCCAAGCTTCCTATTAATCTGCTCTGTGCACGCCTGCATTGAGTGCTTTGAAGCTGGGCTGGAGATAAACAAGGATGCGCTTCGATTTGGACAGTGCACTGCGACATAATGAAACTCCAGATATGTCCCACGCATAAGAGTATATACTGCTCTTCTATAGTATTTCTATGAAAACTTCTAGAATACCAAAAAAAAAACCTGGACTGGTAGATATATGTGGCAGATACTTACCGAAGATCCAAGAATTTTTCTGGTAGTTGCACTGAGTAGATCCCTTGAGTGTCGATGTATGTTCGCAATTGTTGCAGGGATCTATTATCCTTGGTACATTCACTTGTCGAGGCATGTACTTCAAAAGGTGTAGAAGAACAACGGAAGCTCGCTGAAAGGTTTGTTTTTTCACTGTATATCCCTATATACCGGGCAAATTCTACGTCGAGTTTGTCATGACTCTGATGCTATCTGTGCGTTTCTTCCTCTTACATAAGCGGAATTATTTGAACGGGAACAGGATATAGCAGCTCTGTTGGCATTAGTGACTTTCGGGTGGATGGTGCTATTTATCTGACCTTCGACCCATTCATCCCTCCATTTTCCACCCTTCTCTCTTCGTCTGTTGGTTTGAAGTAGCGCGGTGTCGCGGCTCTAATATACCAAAAACTCTCTCGGCTCGAGAATCAGACGGAGAAGTAGTCTCTGAGTGTCCTATCCACCAGCGGAAGGAGGCAGGGACCACTTGTTGTCCGCCGTACTGGGCGCGTTCATAGACGGTCCGCTTTTGCGCAGATACGTGCATCTAGTACGCGTTTAAGGAAGGCCCGTAAAAACTCACCTTCTGTAAACGCGCTCACCATCCTCCAGAACGAGGAACGACATACGTCGGGTCACTCCACACGCGACTGACGACGGCTCTCGAATCGCACACACAAGGAACTAGCTATCTTCTGCTCCACGCATACGTATCTCCAACCACCGTCACATCTGAAGCATTGAAAAGACCCTTAGGTAATGAGGAGGAGGGGTGGTTGTGGCAGCACGAAATATGGGCTTTGCCGAATGCTAGTGTGAGTTGAAATAGGAGCCATCACGTTGATCTGATGAATTAAGAAGAATCATTCACCATAGTTCATTGTAAAGACCACGCAAAGGGAAATATCACTTGTTCGCACTATAGCATTACTCTGTAGTTGCGTGACATTTTTATGAGCCATCTAACATCATGGGCGAATTACGCGCTGAAGGAAACTACGAAGTTTTGATAGTTTGTTGGTTTACTTGTCTGTTGTAGCCCTTTAGCATTGTATATTTGCTCTCTAACCCATTTATTATTGCACTTACAATCAGTCTAAATCGTGCGTGGACACCAAATGCGGACATATCGACAACCCTGGCTTACTATGTGTCAAAAAAGCAGTCGTCCGATGGCGACCATTTAAGAACACTTTTGAGAGCTGTTGAGGTACATTAAGATTTACTCCTTGTAAGATAAGTTCTGTATTCGAAATTCAAGATGTGCAACGATGACTTCTGCCTCGCATTGTTGTGCAGGCTCATTCAAGATCTTTTGAACACTGGCTCCTTGAAAGGTTAGTCAAATTGTTTCTCATCCTTCTGTTTACCGAATGTTATTTAGTTTGTTCTGCACTTCTTTTATCGTCAGTGGTATGCTTTCAGCTAGACAAAGGAGACATCGCAAATTAATCAAAGCTGACGCAACATCGTCCCTTATCCGTACTCTGAGGTACAGGCTCAGGGAAATATTACCCCAAAGAAGTGCCGAAGACAGTGCCGAAACCAGTGATAAACTGAACGCTCTTGCAGAGGATACTGATGACACCATTGCAGAACTTGTTCTCGCTGTTGGCGCTAAGGGTGAGTAGTGATCTTTCAACGTTGTTTTTTTTTNNTTTTTTTTTCTTATGCAGCGACAAAGCTCCCGAATTAGAGGTTTTCAATCGTGAACTCTTTCCAAATCACCAAGATTTTAAATCTTGGCCGTGAGATTATTGTAAACATTCCCCACTTTTTGGCTGATAATAAGGGAGAATTGTATGGAAGCAGGCAAAGTTCTGTCGCAACGGCGCTCTCTTCTTTTTAAATGCTGTTGTTGGGTACTTTTATCATTTGAGCAGTGTTTTTACCCCATAGACAAATCTGGTTCCAATTAACCGTCCCCGGACAGATTTGAGGCTTGGCTGATGTAAGCGGATATCGATCCAGGATTCGAACCCATGACCACGCGTGTATGAAGTGCGACACATGCCACTGCACCGCCTCCGCTCTGGGAAAGGCTCAATGTTTCGACATCAACCATCCATGATAATTCGCTAGAACTTGATTTTGTTAAGAACCTTGATGTTTGGGTACCTCACGAACTGAGCGAGCGCAGTGTGATGGACCGCGCCTCCGTGTTCGATTCGTTGCTCAATCGAATGAAAAATATGCTGTTTTGAAAAGCATGAAAACGGGGACGAAAAGTGGGTCGTGCACAATAAAATGGAGCGGAAACGATCGTGGGGCCTGCATGGAATGTAGAACATTTGTTCAGCTCAAGAGTGAGACCCCATGAGCTGGCTCATTTTTCATTTCCACCATTGACTGCTTCAAGGTTGATTGAACTTCCAGCTAATTATCTTTGTTGAAATTCGCATAAGTTTTTATGTCGTCCATTTGAATCCTGATATCCACTGTGGTTCTAATCAACGCAAGAACATCGATGGTGTAGATTAGGACTAGTAGATGAGATAAAACATCGTTTCAGAGACTGCTCACTTTTATCGGGGCTTTCTGTTTACAATAATCTGTTCAAATGAAATAATGTATCAAACGCGTTAGAGAGGTCAACGAAGAATACATCGACGGCTTGTCCCCTACTTGGCCAGAGTCCTGTCGAAGGTGTTAGCTATTTCTATTTTCTCAATGTTAGTGATTCATTTGTTAGTACTTTTGAAGTATTCGATGCAGTGACGGTGGCTGAGGCTGCAGGGATGGCAGTGGGGTTTTCCGTGGAAACCGACAAAACATTCGAAGTGTAGACTACGGGCGCGTTGAATTCAAACATCAACAGACCTGTCATTCTTCAAGTCAAGGTGTTGGAATTGTTGAGCCCGAAGCAAAAGGGACCATTAATATGACGAATGACCAACTGCCCTGATTTATTGATGTTCACTTTAGAAGCTCGGTAGAAATAGCTTTAGAGGTTTTATTACTCCTGATCTCTCTTCTCCCATTTCACGACATCCTGATCTCGTGATGGTTTCTGCCGTTGCCCGATTTGACTATTATTCTAAACTACTTTTGCAGTTCTTCATATCGAAGAAGCAAGCTTTCTTACTCACGATCGAAGGTGATTGGATACAGTCCTTTTTTCTGAATATTACTACACTGCTTAGAACAATACTGCACATTTTTCCTTTGCTTTCTATCTTGAGGCAGAGACGCGGAAAGAGGCGCCTACCACATGCATGGTTTTGAGACCGAATATCAGTCAGATATCCAAAGCAACTAGGGTTTCCTTCGGTCAGTCGATCGAAGATGGCTTGATATTAACCAGACTTGAAGGATTAAGGCACCGACTTGCAGCGGCCACCGAAAGTCGTAAAATACATAGGTGTCGGGTTCAGTCTATTTAGCGGCGATTAAAGGATTGTTGTGGACATTTACATTCATAGCCAAATTTTTGTAAGACGCGCGAAATTGAGTGAGTGTTAATGAGCCTAATGGTTATGGTTTCTTCACTTTTCTGACGTTTCCGGATAGGTTTTCTTTCAGACTGTCGGCTCTCACTCAAAGTTCGGGTTGGAGGAGTGTTGCAGTTGTTGTGCTCCATTGTTGCAAGCGATTGCAAGAATCCCCTGAGTCCTACTCTGGTGAAACTACTGTGTCGCTCTGTTCGTTCGCGTAAGTTAATTACTTTTGTCTGATTCACCAGCTGTCGGGAGAAGGGAACATTTTGTCGGGTGGTTCTCCTCCCATGAGCGCTTTAGTTAGTATTAATTGGTTCAGTAGTAATGCTATGGTATAGAAGTGTAAAATTTGCAATGCTATATCGAGGGTGGTTTTCTTATTTTCTCGTTTTTTCAATAGGAACAACTGAATAGAGCTGTCTTTGTTAGTAAAGGTCAATGAACCGCTTTTAGCGAGAAACGCACAGTTGGCTGGTCGGTATAAAGGATTCGCCTCTTCCCTATTGATGCGGATATCCTCATTCGAGGGAAAAGATTTGCAACAATGTCACTTACTAGCAAGATATCTTGAAGTTCTCTATTTCGTCAGCAAAAACAGTAGGTGTTGTTATGNTTAGATTATTTTGCTCATTAATAGAAATTTATTAGTTGACAGCAATCCCCTCCGTCAGGTGTTGGCATAAGTAGTGGTGCCTAGTGGGACATTTGTTACTTCTAGCAGCTGACAAAGTTGAATTGCGCTCTGAACTTCCACCGCAATAATTCAAAAAAGAAATTGGCTTTCTCTAATTTTATGCTCTTTTTCACCTTTAGTAAGGCAGCAGTTATCATATTACCGTGGTTCACTACGCTGCTGCTATTGCGCCAATACTTGAATGGCTCGGGAAACGCTATAGCCAGAGGGCCTAAATTGTTGAGGCTCATGTTACTGGGTCCTTATTTGAACGTTTTCAGGGAAAACTCGTATGTTGTTAATTAGTGAAAATATTACGGGATGTATTATACCGCTCCTCGAGCATCATTCTTCGTGGCAAAATTTATCAGAACTGGATGTGGCCATCAGTGTTCATATTGAAATTTGCTTGATTACTCTAGCGATCCTCAGGCTTCTTTGTATTAACAGTGAGTACATTTTTCCTCCACTGAACTTGCTGCCTACCACAGTATCTTTGTATTTTGGAACGCGCCAGAGAGCAGCTGATCTCGCGTAATGTGCTACTGCTTTGCGAAGGTATTTTGAATGAGTTAGGAAAACAAACTTGTCAAGATACCGAAGCAATCTCGCACCTACAGGTATGATGTTTGGTGAACTTCGCATTGGCTCTTTTTGAATGCCTTTTTTCCTCTTGGTTTCCGTTCCCGTTTGATGTCGCTTTTTTCTTTTTCTCTATTACTAACACATCGCATCGTGATTTTTATCAGTCGAATATTTGCATTTCGATACTCCATTGCGCCATACATTTCCGTTAACTCTAAATACCGATTCACAGTGGGGGTAATTCAACTTCCAGATTTAACCCATTGACGACAGCGCGCTTTTGGGATATGAGCGTTTTGGCGGGCTCGACCAACTTGACATACATGCGCGTCAAGTTGCTCCACGAGGTGCGTTTTTCGGAAGGTAAAACTGAGGCAACAAATCAAGAGTAATATATTATGTAGAGAAAAGAGCAGCCGCGGAGGTATAAGCAGCGTTAGTACAAAAATAAAGCAAAATCAGAGCATTGCTGCCTAGGGAACTGTAGCCATTTGAGGGAGGATTGAGGAGGGGTTAGACAAATCAATTGACTTCTAAATGTTTTGAACTTGAAGTTAAAGTTTGGTTTCAACTGAAAAAGTTTTCATATTTTAGAAAAACATACCTAAACCGAAGCATATCCACCCGTTTCATGGACCACGCTGTTTACAGAAACATTAATGTTTTGTCTTTATAATAAACACAAAAATCTTGGGAAACTCGCGTAACCGCGAGAAAAGGATAACAAATTGTTGACTCGTATGCGCGTCAACTGATCCCGTGCGGTCTACAAGGTTTGGCGCGCATGCGTGTGAAGTTGTCGTGAATGGGTTAATTCTTGGCTCCAAAACGAGCAGTGCTTTAAAGCGTTCTAGTTGTGCGGGTTGGGATTTTTCGGGACTTTGCCTGCTACTTTTCTGTGTAGCTAAGTCGTAGTATGGGAATGGGAAGCCGAAAATACTGGAAGCTCGTGAAGATCACTTGGGAAATAGCACGTATCGGCATTTTCAGTAAATTTTTATTTTGATTTTACTTGCTGAATAGCTTTCGGCGTAGCGCGCAATTCGAGCTCTACCTGCATTTTATTTGTTGCTGGTTGGGCCTCCTCAGTGATTCATTGACCAAGCCAATGTGATATAAATTATGCTGATCCCGAAGTGAATGATTAAAGGGGTTCATATAGAAGATCTCAATTCTCACTTTGAATCCTCGGTGGGCAGTTTACTTCGGGATCGCATGAAGCTTTTACTTTTCACTGTTTTTGAAGCTGTTATTCTGTTGTAAGTCTGTTAAACCTTTTCTAGGACTCATTGTGTGCGTTGTGTCTACGCTGCCTCCCAACTCTTCGCTTCCCAAATGCTGGGAGCTCTTTTCCATTCAAATTATGTCTTCGGAAATTGGCCAGCCCTACGAAGAGGTTACTTCATATTCTCTCTTCCTTTTAAAGCGCGCGGCAGCCGCGATGTGTTGTTTAACAAGGCGCAGTTTTTAATATTCTTAGGAAGTAGGTTATAACGATTGAAACTACTGTCGTGTAGCCTTGAACTGTGAAAAAAATGAAGGAGGAAGCTTTTTAAGTATTACGGTAATACCGTTGTTCGAAAGCTTGCATCATCCATCAATGCGTTTTTGATTCGGCAAGAGAGGGAGTCGCAAAGTGAGAAACGCTACACTGGTTGAAGGATTCTCATAATCGACCCGAAGTCACCCACAACATTCCTAATACCTTAGCGTAGCTGCTACATTATTTCACTATTTGTTTACAAAAAACTTTAAAAGTTCCTCTAAACTTTGCTCTCAGTTTCCATCACGTATTTACCTCCATTTCATTAAAAAACAGCTTGTTTCGGGATGGCGATAGACCTTCGCGCACTTTTCGATGTTATGCAAACCGTTTGACTTGCTAGTAGCAGCTTTTCTATTTCGAGAGAGGATGAAAGAAGCCCTAGTTCTTGGAGATCCAATATTGTCCAGGCACAAGGTGTGAAGTCGGGAAAAGATTGCCCTACATCAGCACCAGCCGTAGTAGAGACTAATGGTCAGCGCTGGTTCTGGGTTGCTTTGGCGATTTATTCGTTCGTTATCACCTTTAGGACACGGACATCCTGTTAAAAGGTTTTTGGCGCAAAAAATATTGAAAAAAGGTCGGAAATAAAAAACAACTACCACCACAGCTGCTAGAGTTTTTTCACTACTTAACACAGATGAACAGGTGGTTAGTGGAAAGAAAAGTGCAGGGGATTTCTTCTTTGCTGTTATATTGCGTACTATTACAAAAATACAGAAAAAAANAAAAAAAGATAATCTTTGTCGATGAAAGGTAATTATGAAGTAGAATTAGTATATTTTACCGTCTGACCACCATTACCCACTGGTTTGAGAGATGGTGGGAGTTTGAGAGATCGAACTCAATGGAGAAAACTTTTGAACAACTGCAGTTGTTTGTTTATTTGGATATCACCCTCGATAGTGATGGATCTTTCGATTTCTGACCGATGGTAGTTAAGATGAGAGAAAGCCTGTGCAGAAACCTTGATCTGTTACAATGGGTTGTCGGCCAGCTCAGCTTGAACATGAGCTGTATATTTACCGGCAACGCTGTTGTTAGTATAAAACGATTTGAATAATATAGTGGAATGATTTCGGCTGGGGCAGTACAATTGTAAGCTTTGCTTGGTCCTAGCGTATATTATTAAGATGTCCCATAAGCTTTTTGTAGTTCATCGAACAATCCTTCATCGCAAATAACGAATAGAAACGGAGCCCACTGACACTAACACCCGTGAAGCTCGTCGACATCTTCTTGCAGAATAGGGGGCTGGCCCAGTCCTGTCTTAAGCTCATTCCATCCAGGTAAGGTCAGCCAACCACAACTTTACAGCCTGCCCCACGTCAAGTTCCTGTAAGTTGTTTGGCGCTGTCGGCAAGGGAGTGATTTGTCTTGCTCTCCATGTGTGCGGTCACTATGAGCCTCGAGATTTTGAAGTTGAGGAACATAGGCTAGGATGTAGCAACTTGTTACTAGAGCGGAAGCTCAAAACAGTAAATCTAATGGGAAGGACTACTTTTGTCAGTACTTTATATCGTGACACACCTACAATATCCTAATTGAAGGGTTTTCATATCTGACTCACTTCTAATCTTAAGTGACGCGGGTATGAAAAACCTGAGTCCCATTTGTATAAAGGGAATAGATAGATGGACGTGTGGAGGTCCTTCTGTAAGTCAGAAGGCGTAGAGGTGTACACATTAAGAGGCACCTATCGTCGTAATTTCCAGACATTGCCAATCTTCCCCAGTCCCCGCGCAACGTTGAATGAACGAAGTTGACTATGATTGTTAGGTTCGTGTCGCTAGTTTATGGGTTTCTCTCAATTGCATACCCCGTCTGTGGATGTTGCAAGAGTACCAGCTTTGTTGCCGAAAGGAGAAATTTCTAAATAGTACTTTGCGTTAACTTCATGCAGTACGAGACGAATTCTTCGCGTTCTTGTGGTAGATTCTGTTCCAGCAAAAATTACAGGGATATAGAATTACCATAACGGGTGACTGTCGTGTTTGCTTCCGATCTAACATAGATACAATCGTTATGGTTGTTTAAATATTGCCCGGTGATGAAAAACTCTTATTCTAAAAAGTCGTCTCTGTGTTAGCCACCGAAAACCGTCGGTTCCCATTTCTTTTTGAGCCATCGAAAAAGGATTGACCTATTTCTTGCTTGTATCGTCGATCATCTCATCGATTCCAAGAAACCGACATCTCCTTAGCCATTTTTCGCACTAACCACATACAGGTATAAATCAACAATTAATCGCCTTTTTGACCTTGCCGATTTATTAAGTAGGTTTCCAGCGCAGAGGTGGGTCAGGAAGGTTTCCCAGTTTTGTGAGCTTTGCGATAGTGTTGGAAGCTACCCTGTATTCAAACATCGAGAGATCCGGGAATAGCTGAATT